CTCTCTCTCTCTCTCTCTCTCTCTCTCTCTCTCTCTCTTTCATAGTACTGGGAATTAAGCCCAGGTCTTTGTACTAAGCAACATCCTCAGTCCCCACTCCCCACCCCCTTTTTTTCTTGATAAATCACTAAATGGCCCAGGTTGAGCTCCAAGTAGCCATCCTCTAAAATTAGGATCCTAGAGGTCTGAATTTACAGGCCTGTGCCACCACACCCAGCATGAATTATAATCTTTGGGCCCAGAAATCTACATTTCAGCAAAGTAAGTGTTACAGAACCAACGGAAAGAAACTTTCCTCAATAAGCACAAACAATTTTTTATGACTGAGATTCCAAAATAGCTTCCTTTTTAAAAAACAGCATCTGTTAAGGGGGAACCTTCATCAAAAGCTTCTATCATAAGGTCTGAAATCTTTCATCGTTACGGAGACTTTACTTCTCAAACTATTTTAGATTTTTCTTTAAGTAAAAGTTGATTCATTTATTTTCTAGTTTTCAATTCCAATATTTATAGATTAAAGCCTGACATCAATTCACATGTCTTAACATTGGCATTTTTAATATTTCTTTAAAAGAAACTTCTTTTAAATAAACATTTCTTTTTCAAAGTTCTGTGTTACCCCTTTCACAAATCACAGTTGGAAAGTAGGAAGAACATGTTCATAGAGGAAGGGTGAAAAAGAAGGCTAGTAGGGAAGGGTAGGAAGGAAAAAACTGGACAGAAGAAAAAAATGGAAACAAAGCTTTTGTAAGGAGAATGGGGAAAAAAGAAGAACCAAGATAAATTTTGTACAGGTATAAATTTCCTATGATGTATGTAAACACTATGTATATCCAAAGTATAACAATAAAATTAATTTAAAAATTAAGGTAGTCAATAGTAACAAGATGTCATCACCTAACCTATCTACTGTATTGTCAACTGATTCTATAATTATTTATTCATATTTTGGTTCAGCTGCCACTTTCTGCTGCTGCTGCTGTTGTTTTTTTTTTTGTTTTGGTTTTTGTTTTTCAGCTTTAACTGAGTTTTTGTTTTTTTAATAGCAGGGATCGAACTCCGGACCTTGCACTTGCAAGGCAGGCACGGTGCCACTGAGCTAAATCCCTGGCTCTGCTGTTTTAATATGAGCTTCCAAACTTAAAATCCAGAACAAGGACAAATATTATCATTTGTGTTTTTCACTTCCAATATTTTAAGGGCTGGAAAATTTACAAAATAAATATCCTCTTAACCTTCTTGTCAAAGCATTGCAAAAGAAAAAAAGAATGAGTGAATATTTTTTTTCCTGAAATTTAAAAATATCTTAAAAATACCAATAAACTCAATGAAAAAAAAGTCTAGAATTGATACGATGAAATGACAAAAATCTGTACTGGTAGTATTTTGAAAATGATTAGGCAGCACTCTAAAAATACAAGTTTATGATTCAAAATTCATTATTCATTTTTAACTTCTTTCAAAAGGTAAATTTAAGAATGTTTAATGTATTTGCGGAGAAATGAGATAGCTAATATCTTAAGTAGTGGTAGATAATAAATTCTTGAAAATGTTTTGGAAGAGGATTTAGTTATTTCCACACTTCCCAGCAAATATAATGCTGCTTGGTGAGTACAGCGTCTGGCCTTGACGGGGGATAGTCTTACTCAACTGCACAGTAGTGTTTTCAAGGAAGCTGGAGGATTATCTACCTAATTCTCCAATGACTTGGCCCTGGTTCGACCTGAATTTACTGATTGCGGGCCAGAACAGCTCAAGAACACAGGAGGTAATCATCCTGCAATCAACCACTTTTGAGCTTTGGGGAATCCCTTCACTAGCACTTCTCAAGAAAGCAGCTTCCTTGAAATTTGCCACTGACCCAACCAGACTCATGGGTTGAGAGCACACTTTCGCCAAGGCTCTTCATCTTTCAGGTCAACATGAGAGAATCAGTCAGCACTGCCATGCAGATCTGCCCAAGCCCTTCTACCGCCACAGCAATGAAAAGAATCCTATTCCCTGAAACCAGCTAAAATCTAATTTCAAATTTCAGTCCATCTCCTTTAGAAGAGTTCTCCACACCAAGACACCAGTGGATGGTATATTGATGGGTGGCACAGTCAGAAGTGCTGGCCCTCGGGCCACATGTGGGTTAGAAAAGTCACAGAGAGCAGATGGACACTTACGGTTGGCACAGCTTGATTAGGTCCTGGTCAGTAGTGCCTGGTGGAAGGCCTCGAATGTACAGGTTGGTTTTACTCAACTGTTCCCCGCTGCTGTTGCTGCTGCTGTTGTTGCTGCTGCTGTTTGTGCTGGGGCTGGGAGGAGCCATGGGGTGGGGAGCTGGTGCATAGGACTGCTGCAAACAGAAAAAGCTGTTACTGGAAAAACAAAAGTAGCACACCCGTTCACAGGCCAGCAGCACAACTCAAAAGCAACGCAAGCTGCCAGTCCTTTCCAATCCACACATGCACACACATGCTTGAAACACTGTGCTGTGTTGCTTCTGAAAATATTGCTTACTTTTTCTCCCTCTGGTCCTACAGTTGACTCAGCATAAGTCAGCCATAAATGGGACAAAAACAAGTTATCAGGTGCTCCTGGAAGTATCCTATGGCTTTTGAGTTTGACCCGCATCACACTGACTTTCCTCCTACCTATAAAGCATTCAGGCTTTCTCCCTCCATCATAAAATAAAACAGCTCAGGCACCAAAGCTGGGACCAGAGTCCCTAGCTTACCATTAACAGCCAAGTGTCTTTCTTTGCCTCTACTCTCTTGTTCTCACTTTTTCTCCAAAGAAACTTCCTAATATTGTTTTCCTCACTTCTAGTACCCAGCACAATTCCCGATGTGTAGAAGTTATTCTATAAAATGTGACTCCACAAATGAATGAATGAGTTGAACAGTACAACTTGGACTCTTTCCTTCATTCCCAAAGGGTTTGTTCATGTTGAATGTCCCCTGCTTGCAAGACAGAGCCACAATTCTTTCCTCGCATTCAGATACCCTTTAAATTATCCTAATCCAGGGTCTTTATCTGGCCACCATGGACAGTGTGGGCAGGAAATGTACTTGTAGGGGCTGTCTTCTTTACTGAAGGATGCTCAGTAGTACCCTCAATCTGTTACCCACCAGATTCTAGGGGTAGTCATCTCCTAGATTTGAATACCAGAACTCTCTCTAGAAATTGCCAAATGTCTTTTCATAAGAAGAGACCTCCCCTATTGGTGACCACTGTTTTATTGAATCATACAATTTTATGTCAAAATAAAAATGATAAAATGACTCCCAGAAATTTTTACTGACTGGAGGTACTTATAAGTATGCATGCCAGAATTAGTAAACATATTTACTCCTAATGCTTGTTTTTAATCCAGTCATAGCTTCAAAACTTCTTAAATTGTACTGTCTTGGTTAAGTTCCTGCTTTTGTCTCTTATTGGGTGTATGAACTTTGAATGAGAACTTAATCTATCTGAGATGTAATCATTTAAATAATATGAAAGAGACAATGAAAGTACTCTTCTATGTGATAAGATCTTTCAAAAACTCAATGAGCTAATGCAATCAGAGTGGTTTCTGGATGTTACTAACTGCATAATAAATATCAACAGGAATAACAATAATGTCAATATTGCTGCTGGAATCTGGTCAGTGATAGTTTTTATATAACAATTCCTTTATATAACAATTATATATCAATTTTCTCAATTGTATCCTAGAATGCTACTCAAATGAACACATTCACAGTGAACATATTCATCAAGATTCCAATGGGAAAACTTGCTGGGCTCAATATGAAGACCAATTTATCAGGGTTGTGAGATTCGTTGTTATCAAATAGCATCTTTAGGGCACAATAGCAAAAGAAAGTATTTATTCAGATGATGTCAAACTCTTCAACCTTTTGTCTGCGGAACAAAGCTCAAGGACACTGTGATGATTCGAGGCAACTAGAAAAAGGGAAATTATATTTTTAAAATACCTAAAAGAACCATTATCAACATAGACAAATAGACACACCATCTATGTCCAGGTAAGTGGATTTACATCCTGGAAATAGAGCTTAATGTGTCCTTTATCGCAGCAGCTGAACTCTTTAAAATCCTGCAATGCACCAAGCTAAGGCTAAATCCAGACTTAGTGAATCCTCCTGAAAGCCCTGTCTGGTTCTTCCCCTATCTCTCCAAACACTCCTTAAACTGGGCTCAGTCACACAGAGGCCCTCCCACCCTTTCCACTTACAGTCCAGTTCTACTTGGTTGGCTCTTACTCATCCTTCTGCTTTCAAACTAAGTACCACTCTAAAGCAATCTGTTATTTTCCTTCCTAACTTTCAATGTATTAGGTCTCTGTCAAATGTCTTTTTGGCTCACTTATTTAATACCTGTCTGTAGCACTACTCTGGATGTTTCCTAAGGGTAGGGAATATGCCAACCCTTACATTAACAGTTTGATAACAGTGCTTGATAAATAGTAGGTACTTAATAAATTTTAGTATACATCTTGTGCAATAAAAATGGGATAAACTGTACATATAGAGACAAGAGGTCTTGTTTTTTGCAATACCTAGCCTCATGTCTTGCTTACAATAGACTATTTCACACCTTCTAGGATTTCATTTTTACCCCAGCCCATATTTTCAAGTGGCTTGAAGATGATGCCTCTTAAATTCAGTGTATCAAGCTTATTGCATCTCTTCTCCCTTTTCCAATTCCCTACACCAATCATCCATTACAATTACCTCATATTTTCTAGTGTTGCTATCACTTTTTCAGCTTCTATGCCAGAAACTAGATGCTGGTTCCATCTGCTCTCTCATCCTAAACTTCAACATATAGTCAGCCAACAAAATCTCTGGATTTCTCTTTTTCCTTTAGGCCAGTGTACACCAGCTAGGACGTAAATGCTTTAAGATTCTTCTCAAGTCTCCGTTCCCTCATGATTCCCTGTTTAAACCTCTGATTTACTGGAAGGAAGGGAGCAGGGGACAAATTGTCCAATATAAGCACAAACTGACAAGGACTCAAGGAATGGGCAAACAAGAGAGCAAATATGACAGGAGCAGAGTCCAAAGCTTCCATCTCCCTTCTTTGAAATAAACATTTTCTTCAATCAACTCTTCAATAGTACTTATGTTAACATCAATATTTTAGTGTAGAATTTTAAGATGAAATACACAAGAGAATAGTTTGTCTATTTGAATTAAATGGAATGTATCCATTACCTTTTTGAATTTAGTATTTGCATAAAGCTCATGTTTCTTTGTTCATATAAAAGCCTAATACTTGTTTTCTGACCTAAAAAAAAAAATAAAATAAAAGCTTCGATTGTCCTCTTTTCTAAACCCCGCATGCAGTAAGTGTTCAGTTTGTGCCTTCCTGGTATCTATCTCAACAAGGTCACTTAGGATTCATCTTTTACTTCCCTTATATGCTTTATTCTCTTAAAATTCCCAAGACCTTTTTAAAGTTGTTTGCTTCCACTTTCACCTTCTCTTAAAATTCTTTGAATTCCATCCTGTACGGAGGCTTCTTTAAAAATAAGATTTTGCTTAAAACAGTTTTTTCCACTGCATAGCCTTTAAAACCACCAGGGAGCCAGAAAAACGTCTCCAGCTTTATGTATCACAGATCAGATGGACCAGTTCAGACTGAGCCCTTAACTGATCAAATAAGAGAGCAGCAGCTACAGCATGATCAATATGTGTTTACTTAATTCTTTTTCCCCCCAGGGCTCTTTGCAAGCATTTCCATAACCAGAACACCATTTAGTAAATTGCATGATGCCTAAAACAATAAATGTGCCCTCCAACGGGCCCATTGTATTTCACTAGGGAAGGGGGGAAGAAAAGCAGGCAAAAGCAAATCAAAGTTGAGATGAGGACAGGAAACTCCTACGCATGGAAATGAGCTGTGTACTTTATAAATGAGAGTAGAAGCCCAAGTTTATGGAGAAGGGGCATATTTCAGAAACCTTTTAAAAAACGTGTATCCCCAGTGTGATTTTCTGTGTCATATAATGGCTTGTGGATTCTAAATATTCTGCTGAAGAAGGTGGAATTCTCACTGCTGCTGAAGCACTCTATTCACAGATTGTCATGCACTGTACAGAGGCTCTTCCTAATATTTAATATTTCATTTGGCTGCCGATGCACTGTGGTTCTGGTAGCAGTCAGTGTTGTAAATCATTCTTTGGTTTTAAGAATTATAAATTCCTTCCTTTCCACCCATTTCCAAATACACATCCTCTAATCAACGCAAGGTTGGCAGAAGTTTCCCGGAATGTCTGACAAATGCACAGGCCTAAATGCATTAATTTGTGAAAAGTAAAATCCATTGTGTATGCTCTGACTGCCAATGACAGAAGACCAAACTATAGTGTGGGGGGGGGAGAAGAAGGAGTCAATAATCTCTAGCATTTAAGGGGTTACAGAAGCCTGCTTTTCCTGATTAAAGCAGCTTTACCTCCTTTCTCAATGGTTTTCCTCTAGATGGATTTGAAATTTTATCATTGATTACCTTTTCAATCATTTTGAGCTCCCAAGGAAGGGATTTTAAAATGCTAGCAAAAAATATTTTCCTTCAGATAAAACGGTCTTTGCTGTACTGCTCCAAGTCACACTCTACAAATCCTATTTGGGAGGAGTGAGGGCTTGCAGTCCGGGGTCACTGAGCACTGTGCTGTGCTGGGCGAGGGATTGCTGTGGACTTGCAGTGTCAGCATGGTCGGAAGTGGGGCTCTGGGGGACACTGATTCAAGGAGGAAGGGAACTTCTCTGAAGGCATTTATGCGCCACAGTGAACTGATAGGCAGGTTTTTCTTAGATGTTTATTCATGGAGGAAGTGATGGAAGGGTCAGTTAGAAATTATGGAACAAGAGCTAACGCTCAATAATCACACATAGAGGTGCCAAATCAGAGCATCTGTACCCGAGTCCTCTTTAGAAAATTAAATAAAATCATTTGGCATCCATTTGGGAAGTTATTATTCTTAAAACAGTGTTTCCAGTGTTTGTAGGTAATACTTTTGGCTACTTGCTAAGCATTTGATATATTATCTTCACAAAAGCTCAGCCAGACAAACAATAGTTCTCTGATTTTGCAAATGAGGAAACTGAGATACAAAAGGGTAAATGACCTGTTCAAGGTCACGCAGCTGGAGACCATGTTTGAATCCAGGGAATTTGACATCAGAAGCCAAGTTGTTCCCCAGCCCCACCATATGATAGAGCTTCAATTCTTAATGATATGGGCACCGAAACACATAAACACTTCCTTGAGGTCAACTGAAGGACAAATCAGGCAGAAGCCCTGCTGTACCAAGGTTTGAGTAGGAAGCAAAGATGATGATAAAAA